TTACGTGACGACCACATCCAATGCTCACCAATCTCATGAGATGAGTGTCCCTCAGCCACTTCACAGAGGCTCAGCTCTCACAGCTGCCCAGCCGCTCATCCGGTTCGCAGCAAAGCCTGGGTTTGAGCACGACTCCCCCAGCTGCCATGCCGCGCTGCTTCCGTGCCCTGGGGAGCAGCAGGGCAGTGCCACTTCCGGAGCCTGCTAATGGGGCTCACGTCCCTCTCCCAGACAAGCCTCCTGCTTCCTCACGTCCCGCCAGAGGAAGCAGTGTCGGCCGGGCGCCCAGCTCTGACCCAAACACACTGCCACGCCGTACTGATCCCACAGAGTGTCTGCAGCCTATCTCACAGCCTCTGGCTAGTGCTTGCCGAGGCCATTCGGAGGGAAGGACGTGGCTTAGAAGGGGATGGTGAGGAAGGCACCCCTGAACTCAGGGCTGGCGCAGGCGCAGGCTGCAGCACGGGGACCCGCTGTCATCTACACGAGTCGCCGGCCTCGGGCTGAGGACAAGCATCCTCGCAGGCCTGCCCCTGTCCAACCGGAGGCCGAGCCCAGGACGCTGTGTGTCCATGCTCTTCCCACCGCCCTTCAACAAAACGTGTGGACTGAACCCTCCACGCTGTCCAGCTGGTCCCACAGGCGGGGTTCCTCCCGGGCGAGCTGGTGGCAGGGAGACCCAGGTGACGGCAGATGCTCTGGGCCCGGCACCGGGGAAACCATCGGAAGGAGAACCAGTTGGACATGTTTACACCAGGTGTTAGCCTCGTGTTTACGGTCCGACCGTGGCAGATCCTCAGGGCGCCCCGCAGCGCTGTGGCCACGCAGACGCCTCCCCACGCGCCACGCGCTACCCGGGCGTGAGCTCCATGCCACCGTGACGCCGGCCTGTTGTTTAATGAAGGAAACGCTGCCCGAGCAGCACAGGACACGGCTTTCCCTCGGCCGTGCCCAGTGTGCCAGCGGCATCCCATCACGTGGATACTGCGTGCACTTCTGCAGCAAGGACCACGCCACAACCACCAAAACCAGGGAACTAACGTGGCCTGGCAGTACCCCGTGTAAGTCAGGACCCCAGTTAAGTTTACTGATATGCGTTTCAGCGCTAAAGTAGAAAATGTGTTATCACTAAGATTCCCTCTCACCTTCTCAGTGCCCGTCTCTGCGGGGCCTCGCCGATGCCCAGCACTGAGCCCTGCCGTCCGCCCGGGTGTAGTAAACGCCTCAGTGTGCGCCAAGTCCCATCTCTGTCAGCCCCATGACCGGCAGTGCGTCCTGGGGAAGCCACTCGGCCCTTCAGTCCTGGCATCACGGGCCTCTGAACCGTGTGAGTCCCCGCAGGACCCCCCCCCTCCCCCCGTCCAAGGGCGTTAGCTCAAGCCGGTGAGGGCAAGGGCGTGTGGCACCGGTGAGCGGAGGAGTCCGGCTCGGACCACAGGGGGGCCCTAACCACTGCGGTCCTCACTGCCTCGGTCGTGTCACAGGGGACAATGCTCACACCGTCAGGCCACCCCGGCTCCAGACGCCTGAGGCGTGGTGGGCCGGGCTGGTGCGCTGGGAGCAGAGGCGAAGGCGGACGTGCCATTCGGTGGAACCGGGGCCAGCACTAGGGCTGAGCCCCGGGAAGAGTTTTCCGTTGGGGCTGCGGTGGATTCGAGCTGTTCTCATGACGTGATAGAAACACTGCTCTCAGCAGCCGGCAGGGACAGCTCTGAGAAGACCCCCAGGCCCCTCCTCCCTCTGAGGACGAGCTCAGCGCTGAGGCGCCGGGCCGTGACTTATGAACCAGCTCCGCACACGGAGCCCAGAGCGGCTGCTCGTGACCTCAGGAGGATGCGAGAGGAGGTCCGGAGGATGCACAGGCCTCACCCGTGTGCAAACAGCTCGCTTTATTTGATTAAAAATGATTAAAAGAAAAGAAAGGCCATCCTTCCCTAACAGATCCTTTTGTCGAAGGGGCCGCTTGCTCAAAGCGCTCAAACCAGCATGGCATGGGGTGACGCTGACTTACTGCCAGCTCAACACAGCCGAGGGGACAAGCCAGGAGGCAGAACGAGCAGAGCTGCCGTGGCCTGCAGTTACAACGTGAGCCACATTCCGGCACGGCGACGCTGGGAGCCCGGGCACCTGCCAGGGACTCGGCCTGGACTGAGGAAGCAGCAGGTTCCCACAGCAGGCAAATCGCCCACACTCTGGCCCCTTCTAACCACGGGAGACAGTTTGACGACTGCACCATCACCTGAGTGCATCGTCACTGACAGCGCATGGACTCGGCAAGGAGGCAGGCAGCCACGGGCACGTCAGCTCCCATCTCTCCCAGCAGGGCCCCTGGGAGGCAGGCGGACTGCCCCTTCAGCACCATGTCCCATGTCCCGGCCCTGAGACAAAGGAGGTCTCTCTCTGCCCTGGGTATTCTTGTATTCTTTCGGGGTGCCTCCTGCTCTCTGATACTGCTCGAGGGCAGGGAAACACTCATGCTGAGGCAACAAGGTCTTTGCCCAACAAAAGCAGGGCTCTGAGCAAGACGGATCCACCATCAGAAAGACAAAGAGGAGGCGTGCTCTGGGGGTGGAAACAGGACCTCAGACTGAGTGCCGCCTGCTGCTAACAGGTGCGATGCTCAGCTACAATGTATATGTTTCCACCAATACCCCGCTGGGCACAGGCGCTTCCATGGCCATGGGTGCCTGTGTGCGGACAGCGCTGAGAGCTGTCCCTCCACATACAGCCCCCCCTCGGCTCAGCTCTCGAGGCTGATGAGCCACAGGAGAGAGCAAATAGCAAACTCTGAATCTATTTGAGGAAGCACTTTCTAACAATCTGTGTTCTCCAAAAATGGAACAGGCTGACTAGACACAGCGTTCCAGCAGAGCTGGGTGGCCATCTGTCGGGGCGGGGCCACTGGCCCAGCCCCAGCCCCAGCCCCAGCCCCCATCCCCAGCCCCAGCCCAGCCCCCAGCCCCAGCCCAGCCCCAGCCCCAGCCCCCAGCCCCAGCCCCAGCTCAGCCCCAGCCCAGCCCCAGCCCAGCCCCATCCCCATCCCCATCCCCATCCCCATCCCCATCCCCATCCCCAGCCCCAGCCCCAGCCCAGCCCAGCCCCCAGCCCCCAGCCCCAGCCCCAGCCCCAGCCCCAGCCCCAGCCCAGCCCCCAGCCCCAGCCCCAGCCCCAGCCCCAGCCCCAGGGCTGGCTGGGGCCCCGGCCCCCTCCACAAACACAAGCTCACAGCACTGGTCACAGCTCTGGATTACGGCTTGTGAAAAACTAAACACTGGGCAAAAGCTGTGTTGAATAGTTTCCATTTGAAGCTCTGTCTTCTCCTAAAAACTGAAGGAAAAAATAATGTATTCAAGGGACTTTCTAGATAATTCAGAAGGCTTGCTTAGCCTTATTTTACTTCCCAGTGTTTCGTTCTGTTTCTGGGCATTTCATTCTGTGCTGGAATCTTTTTCTTGCTTTAAAAAAAATATGTTTTATTGATTTCAGAGACGGAGAGGAGAGAGAGATAGAAACATCAATGATGAGAATCTTTGATCGCTGCCTCCTGCACGCCCCCTACTGAGGATCAAGCCCACCTCCCGCGTGTGTCCTGATGGGGAATCAAACCGTGAACTCCTGGTTCATAGGTTCATGCTGGACCACTAACTAAGCCAAGCCGGCCTCGCTCTGCACTAGAATCTTGAGAATATATTTTTATAAAATGGATAAGAAAACAAAACAAGTCAATAGTGTTTAGTAGATCAAAGATAATATTTTTTAAGGGCACTTTAGCAGGTAAAAAGTTGAAATTGGAAAAAAAAAATTAAGCTCAGGCACTTTTACAGGTTTCATCTATTCATGCAGCCTACTTTTCTTTAAGAGTTATAAGTAGAGGACATGTTTCTTCCCCGTGCCCTGCTTGGAGAACAAAGACAAAGGGATGCCAGTTTAGGGGGGCAGAGTCAGATTGCTCGTGAAAAACGGGGTTTCTCTATCAGCCTCAGAACCTCAGACACTGGCGAGCTGGCGTGACCCACACTGGCCTGCATTCCGCTTCTCCTCCAGTCCTGGGCGTTACCTAACCCACAGCACAAAACACTGCAGCTTTAAGTGGTTTTGAAGAATTAGACTTTTCAAGATTGCATAAAATAAAGACAAATATCCTGCAATACCCACTGCATGCATGTATAATGCTTACATTCTCCTGTCACACTCTCTCCTACATGAAAAAAACATGCTCTTGTTAGAGAAAAAAAGGAAAAGCTCAAGTAAACACACCTGGGTGGTCGTACTGACTTGTTTCACTAGCACACGCTGCAGCGATAACCAGCAGCCTCAGACACAGCCCCGGTACCATGCGAGGAGGGAACTCTGGCTTTGTTGAAGGCAGGTCGGTCCAGTTATTCTCAGAAAGGCCCTCAAAGCTACTTTTCCACATACACTGAAGCAATAACTACTGCAAGCAAGCCTGACACGCATGCAAAATACAAAGCAAGGTTGGTCCCTTCAGTTCAGGTGAGTCCAGTGGGCCCTCCCATCTGTGGCCGGAGAAGAGACGATGTGAGAGGGAGAGCTGAGGCCACCAGAGCCGAGGCCCAGCCGCCCCCACCTGGGGGACCCCCGATGGCCTCGGATATCACAGTGGTGCTCGCCCAGCTGCCACCCGAGAGAGCTGCCCGGGTCTGTGGTGCGAAAGTCACCCGGCCCTCTGCTCCTCCCCTCCTCCCCTCGGCACAGAGCCGATCACAGCGGGCACTTCCGGGGGGACCGCCCTCCAGGCCCGGCCGCAGGTGGGCCGGAGAGGAGCAGGGTCAGCTTTTCCAGACTCCACACTCTGCAATCTCCCGGGAAGGACCAACATGCTACCCCTCCGCCCTGGTCTCTCTCTCAGAGATTAAGAAGACAGCTAGAAGGATGCCAACATTTAAAAGGCTCTTTTTAAAAACAGAAACGATGAACATTCTCCCAAAGAGCGCCCCGGTCCTCGCTCTAACCGGTCCCGGCCGCGAGCAAGCACTCACCCAGCGTGTCCTTCAGGTTCTTGACCAGCGAGCCCTTCTTCAGGCTGTTCTTCCGCTCCACGTAGTTGGACGGCACGTAGCCCGTCCGGTTGGCAGCGTTGCGCACGCGCCACCACGTCTTGGAGTCGTCCAGCAGCCACAGGCGCTCGTTCTTCTTGATGTCCAGCTCCTGGTCCTGCTGGGCCGTGTAGTCCCACTTGGCTATCACGATGACCTCCTCTGTCATTTTCATGGAGTCCCCTGCGGAGAACAGCTCGTCAGACCCGCAGACATTAACACTAGGCGGCTTGGGTTGCTCCAGGGTGGGGAGCCCTCAGCCCAGCCCGGCCTTCCTTCCACGGCACCCCACGTCCCTGTCAGGGTTCCTTAGAACCAGCAGCCTTAGAAACAGCTTAGCCTGGCTCACTGGGACTCCTGCACGCTTTGCCAAAGACAAAAGCAGTTCCCCAAATATTCTAAGCAACGATTTCATAACTAATGTGTTCATCTGATTAAGCAACTCCGGCTCTGTATACCCGATGTGTACATCCCGTCTTAGTATATGCTGAATTTTATGAATATATTTAATAAGAAACACACACTCCAGCTCTTCCTACAAATTAAAATGAAAGCAACGTGGCGTCCTGCACTGGATCCTGAAACAGAAGGAGAAAGTGCGGGAGACCCTGTGACCTTCCAGGGAAGCGCAGTCACCGGGCGCTCAGCATGCCCCTTGCTCGGCGCTGCCAACCAGGAGAGGTGGGGAAGGCGGAGGTACATGGAGTGCTCGGCACTGCCTCTGCGGCTTTTTATAAACACAGCATTACTCCTGAAACCTGCACATGGGTGTTTACAGCCGCTTTGTGCACAATCGCCAAAATGTGGCCAGTCCAGGTGCCTTCAGCAGAGGCGCTGATGCGTGAACGGCGGTCCATCCGCTGACAGGAGGACTCAGCGATAAAAGGAATGAGGCGCCAAGCCCTGGAGACACGTGGGAAGCCTTCGATGGGATCACTGAGTGACAGAAACCCCGGGAGGCTGCATGGGGTCTCTCCCATAGAGGCCTTTTCTACCAAGCTTAGGCAGGCTTCTGAATCCCCGTCCCAAACCAGCCGTGACGTTCGTACTTCCTGATGCGCCTTCGCATCGCTCAGCTTTAACAAGAACCCGGCTGCGTGGGTTTAGCCGGAATCCGCCCGCTCAGCCAGCCTCGGCGGATCACCCGCCGCCTTCAGCAAGAGCCCGTTCAGCCGGCTGCCCTCTCCTCTCCTCCGGGCTGTGCGTGCCCTCTCCTCTCCTGTGCTGGGAGCTGGGCTCAGTGGTTGTGGCCCCCCCCGCGCACACCCCCTGCAAACACACTCCCATGCAGCACCCCCTGCATAGTCTGCCTGCCCTGCGTGCTTCCCAATGCCCTGACTCACTCTTCCTCCAGCACTTCCATTGCAGGCGGCGGCGGGGTGAACGGGCAGAGCACAGACCTGGCTCAGGGAAAACTCCGCACAGTATCCAAGTCCCGTGAAACGCGCAGCACCGAGAGTGAGCTGTGCCACACGGTTCCTAAATGACAGGCGTGTTAACAGCCACAAAGCACGGAGCAGCGAAGTCCGCTCTGGGAGTAAGAAGAGCAGAGGGACACCTGAGGACTAAGATGAGAGTAACCACCAGCTGTCTCAGCGGCGCCACACTTCTCAGTCGTTTCCCAGCAAGAAAACCCAGTATTCAGTCCTTCAGTGACTAGAAGTTTCCTCAAAACTAGAGAGAAGGAATAGTGGGAAGACCACTCACTAAAACCCTGTTCCTCTCTGACAAAAAGGAGTTCCCGTGAGTTATAGGGAGGCGACCTGTGCACTTGATGCCTGGAGGCATGTAGACACGTTAGATAACACGGCACTTTCTACCAGATGCTGGAGAAGTTTACAAGGAATGCACAGTCTCCCCCGTTATACATTAAGTTCAAAACTTAGAGATGCCGAAACCGGTTTGGCTCAGCGGGGGAGCGTCGGTCTGCAGACTGAAAGGTCCCAGGTTCGATTCCGGTCAAGGGCATGTATGTTGGTTGTGGGCACATCCCTGGTAGGGGGTGTGCAAGAGGCAACTGGTGGATGATTCTCTCTCATCGACCTTTCTAGCTCTCTCTCTCTCTTCCTCTCTGTAAAAAATCAATAAAATACATTAAAAAAAAAACCACTTAGAGATAATAATCCTTTTGGGGGGAAAAGCAATCCTAAGTAATAAAAGGCTAATATGCAAATCGACCTAACAGCTGAATGACCAGTCACTATGATGCGTACTGACCACCAGGGGAGCACTGCTCAGGCAGAGGCTGGGCTCAGCAGTGAATACAGTGGTGGCAGCCTTTCCTGACACTCCAGCAGTACTAAGGATGTCCGGCGGATGGCTTAGGGCTTCTGCACTGGGAGAGGGCACAGGACGGGCTGAGGGACCCTCCCCGCCATCCTCTGAGTGCACTGGGCCTCGAGTGCTTAATGAAACTCATGCATAATGTACACGTCAGCCAACAGGACGAGCTCACTCCACACTCGTGTCCTTCAGGCAGACAACGACCTGCTTCCAGAACCCACGCTCACCGCTGTCTCCACCCTGACCCGGCTTCCTGTCGGCTTAGATTTTGAAAGTCATAAGGTAGTTTTGTTTTGTTTATCTGTTTGTTTGTTTTAATAATAATGAGAGCAATAATAGGAATGGGATTCAAAGAATATCCCATTTAAATCCGGGTTTGTTTCTTAACTCCACAGTTTTCAGGAGTTTCTAACAAGGACAGCACAGCACCTAAGACCATTCAAAGCAACGTGTTCACCTCCTGCAAGATGCCAGGTGCGGAGCTGGCCGGGCGAGGCCATGGCGGTGCACGGGGACCCCCACGGGAGCTTGAAGAATGGGGTGCCTGGGCGCCCGGAGCAGCGAGCAGCACCTCCAGGAGCGAGGCCTGTGCTCAGATGTTACAACCGTAACCATGACGGCCGGGGCAGGGACCGGAGTCACGGCTGCATGCCTGGGTCGCCAGACTCGCGGCCGGAATGACCCCTCAAATGTTCGGTTTAAGAAGTAAATGTGAGGGTATGCCGGAACCTGACGGACACCAACTCACTCAGTCAGCAGCGCTCCCCGTTGGAGAGGGGGTGCCCTTTGGAGACAGAGGGACTTGTTAAATGAGTCCGGACTGGAGACCAAGTCCACCGGCTCCCAAATCTGGGCTCTGTGCTCACTCTGGGGGGTGTGGGTGAGGGTCTAATGTGTGGCCTGTGATTTATAGACTTATTCCAAACAGGAAGTCTAGGATTCCAGGTCAGCGAGTAAAAAGGTCCTAGGCAATGGCCGGCTGCTCCTTGGCTATGCAATGGGTTTGAACCTCTTCTGAAGGACTGTGACAGCTGGCTCATACGGGTCCCAGCAGTCACTGAGGAGCCACAGCTATTTTCCACAGCAACCGTCCATTTCACGTTCCCTGGCCGCGGTTCCGGCCTCCCCACAGCCTGCTGTGTGCTGCTCTGGTGTGTTACAGCAGCCATCCTGTTGGGTATGAGATTCATAAAGTTTCTTAAGTGAACCTGCTTCTTACTGGATCAAAAACACGTTTTTACTTTATAATAAATCTACTCCCCTTACAATCTTTTTTAAAGTGGGCACCTTTCTTTTTCCATCCTTATAGCCAGAGTCAAGTACCAACCCTTGTTAAAGTACATTAAGACAAATGCCTCACTGCCAGGCTGGGAGCGGCCAGGCCCGGAGCAGCCGGGTCTGGTGTGGCCCAGCCCGGAGCAGCGGCTGCCAGGCTGGGAGCGGCCAGGCCCGGAGCAGCCGGGTCTGGTGCGGCCAGGCCCGGAGCAGTGGCTGCCAGGCTGGGAGCGGCCAGGCCCGGAGCAGCCGGGTTGGGTGCGGTCAGGCCTGGAGCAGCAGCAGCCAGGTCCAGAGCAACTAGGTCGGGAGCGGCGGTGACCAGACCAGGAGCAGCTGGTTGTGGAACGAACCAGAGCAACAGAGGCCAGGCCCGGAACAGCCAGGCCCGGAACAGCTCGCTCTTCGCCTGCCCCTGCCCCACGGCTGCCTCTCAGACATGGCTGGAAACTTGTGGGAACTTGAGGGTCTGCTGAATCAAGTGATGAAGGCTTAGATCTGGATGTGTTGAGTTAGTATAGGGCTGGGGTGTTGATCTGTGAGTGCCTTGGGTGGGGCCTGGATGAGGCTGGTTGACCTATTTGGAAATGTCTTTTGTGTGAAATGTATCATTGGGCATGTGGTGGTATTATTGATATGAGAAAATGCTAAGTAACTGATTTACTATCTGAAAAGGGATTTACTATCGGGGAAAGGGAGGGAGGAAGAGACTGAACATAAACTGCACCTATGGATGAGGACAATGGGGGATGGGGAGGGGGCGGAGGGTGGGATGGGAACCTGGTGGAGGGGGGAAGAAATGAGGAACCTTTGTAACAATTTGAACAATAAAGATTGATTAAAAAAAAAAAGACAAATGCCTCAAAGTGAGACTTTATCAACCAGCACCTCACTGTGCCCATGGTGCTGAGTGAGGTGCCCGACACCCCGAGATCCGAGAACGGAACTCCAGGCCGGCACCACGCATCGTGCGACGGCCCCTGGCAGAGCAGAGCCAGGGCGCTGTGCCCCAGCTAAAGCTGGGAACGCTGTGCCCCACTCCTCACTCACAGCCTGAGTGCCCACGCTGCCACCTCTGCCACCCGCCCTGCTCTCACCCCGAGGCGGCTGTGGAGGAGGGGTACCTGCGTACCTCACTTTGGAGAATCGCCATCAGTTTAATAAGCCACTCTTATCACACAGTATTAACGGCGAAACAAATACAATTCAAGTAAGCACACTGGAGTTCGAACCGACACTGTCTGAGGCAAGCCTGCAGCACACCACAGGAATGCCGTGACCGGACAGATGTACGCAACGGACAAACACCCACAAGCCACATTCCCAGAAACAGTGGGAAGTGGCCGCCAGGGGCTGTGGGGAGGGAGGGAGAGGCCGGTAAGGGGTCCGTTCAGCTGTGAGCCCTGAGGGCCCAGGTAAACACCCGGCTCTGCGGCTGGTAACATGGTATTCTACAGTGACACTGGCCACGAGTGGACTAACATGCTCTCACCAGAAGAAGAGATGAGTGAGTGAGGTGAGGGATGTGCTAATTAATAGAGGTGATGGATATGTTAACTAACAATCCTTTCACACTGTACACATAGCAAATCACCACAACGTACCCTTCAAACACCTTACAATGTTAGCGATCCATCTACCTCAATAAGGCTAGACTTAAAAAAGAAAAAATTACCCATCTTTGAAAATGAGCATTGCCCTAGCTGGTTTGGCTCCATGGATAGAGCGTCAGTTTACGGACTGAAGGGTCCTGGGTTCGATTTTGGTAAAGAGTACATGCCCGGAATGCAGGCTCGATCCTCTGTAGGGGGCATGTGGGAGGCAGCCGATCAATGATTCTCTCTCATCCCTGATGTTTCTCTCTCTCTCTCCTTCTCCCTTCCTCTCTGAAATCAATAAAAATATATTAAAAAAAAATAAAAAAATAAAGAAAATATACATTGATCCCTGGTGAAACCTGACTTCCTCTGAAATGCAGTGCCCTCAGACAAGGTGTGCCTGCTGCTCACCAAGCACATGGACAGCCAGCATCCACTTTCAGGGGTTTACTAGGCATATTTTTTCCACAACCAGAAAAGAAGTTGTAATTTTTATAACTCAAGCATCTATTTCATAAACATATAAAATATAAATGTCATGAGCTTCCTCAAGTCTTACTAATGAGCTCAGCTACATTAATCAGTAACTGACCTTTGCCCTTACCACCTATTATTCATAATCGCTGCCTAATTCTGAAACATACCAGGGTGAAATGAGCAGCACAGTGACCCGAAAACACATTCCGCATGGCCTGGGCCTCATTCGTGTGGAATGTGACTAACTTTCCTGCGGGTCTGCATGGCGTATGCCCACGTCCCCAGCACCCTATGCTTCCGGTTTCCTAGTTGATGGGGACCCTCAGTGCCTGGCCCTGGGGAGGGCAGGGACCCGGGACAGCGAGGGCACAGGCTTAATCTCCGCACAGACACTTCTACAAGTGCTTTTAGAAAATAAACACTAATATAGATGCCAAGTGTAAACTGCTTTTAAGGAAATCTCCCCTATCACTCAAGAAAACGGAATGAGGAAATCAAGATCTCTAGCATATGTACTATTTTTACAATAAATTTTATTTCTCAGAAGTGTTTCAGTTTCCCTGAACATCTTACATCACTATGATACATTTGTTACAATTACCAGGCCGACAGCGATACATTGTTAACCAGAGTCCAGTTTACCCAGATGTCCTTAGTCTTCTACCTAACGCCCGCCCTCTAATCCCGGACCCCGCTCCGGACACCACATCCAGCCTCCAGCAGCTCCACTGGGCCGTGACGGTCAGGCCCCGTGTGCCGATGACCCTTCGGTTCTGAGGACTGCGGGCGGGGGCTTGCAGACCGCCCTTTAGTTGGGATTTGTCTGATGGTTTCCCTCCTAAGATGGAGGTTCCGGGTTCGGGGACAGGAGAGCACAGGGGGAAAGTGCCACAGTCACTGCGTCCCAGCAGGGCCCGCTGTGAGCATGACGTCACTGCTGTGGGCATGACATCACTGCCATGCCACCCGATCACCTGCTGTGAACATGACATCACAGCCGTGTCACCCGATCGCCTGCTGTGAGCATGACATCACTGCCATGTCATCCAATCACCTGCTGTGAACATGACATCACAGCCGTGTCACCCGATTGCCTGCTGTGAGCATGACATCACTGCCATGTCATCCGATCACCTGCTGTGAACATGACATCACAGCCGTGTCACCTGATTGCCTGCTGTGAGCATGACATCACTGCCATGTCATCCGATCACCTGCTGTGAACATGACATCACAGCCGTGTCACCTGATCGCCTGCAGTGAGCATGACATCTCTCCCAGACACCGGCAGCTCCTCGCTCCCTCACTGTGTTCAGGCCTCTGTTCAGATGTCAACCCCCTTGCTCCTCCTCTTCACCACACCCATCCTGACTACATCCGACTCTGCCAAGCCCCTCTCCCCTGCACCCGGCCTGCCATGGCCGCTGCCCACCTGCAGCCTCGCTCTTTCTCTCTCCCACCTCATTGACCATACTTCACACACATGTTAACTGACTGCTCGTCCATTTTCTCCCCCTCCATGCAATTCCTTGAGGGCAGGACTCTCTCCTCCCAACAGAGCACTTAGCAGGGCTCCAGTCAGTGATGTCCACAGCCTGTCAGTGCAGAAGCGAGTGGGCAAGTGGCCCGCTCACACCCCACGGCAGCCCCTGGGCCCCGCACGCCCACTCTGGCCCCGAGGCCCCTAAGGCCCGCACACACCCCACCGCAGCCCCTGGGCCCTGCACGCCCCCTGTGGCCCCGAGGCCCCTAAGGCCCGCACACACCCCACCGCAGCCCCTGGGCCCCGCACGCCCCTTGTGGCCCCGAGGCACAGGTGTGTCCCCCCCCAGGCCCGCGAGGCCCGCTCACAGGTCCCATGTGCCGCCCACGTGCCCCCGAGCCTCCGCCACAGCCCCTGGAGCCCGAGGTCCGGTGCGGAAGCCTCATGTGCCGCTGGATTCAAACGTCAGCGGCCTCCTAACCCAGCCTCACCTGTGCTCCAGTCACTGCTACTCCAGGCGAAGGGCTCTCTGAAGCCGGGGGGGGGCGGGGGGGGGGGGCGGGACAGGGAGGGGCTCCGATTAAACATTTATGTGTCATTCTGCTGAGCTCTCTGAGCAAAGAGGGGGAAAGCACATGAGCATACACAATGTCCGTGAAATCCGATCAATGAAGAGCGAATCCTCCAGCTCTCCAGCAACGGACCAGCACGGCGACAGGAAATGCAAGATCCACACCAGAGCTCAGTAACTACCGAGAGGCAGTCTAAGCCGAGACTGTATTCCTGGCAAAAATAACCTGGGCTCTGCCAACCAACTCCCAGCGTTTAACCACCGTACTATCTGCCGTCCTCTTTAAGGACGGGCTGCTGAACACGACCAACCCCTCGGGCAGGCCCCGGGCAGCCGCAGGAAGCAAGCTCCTGCCCTGTGAGCCGAGTCCGAACGCAGTGCCTCGCCCGGCGCCCAGGCCCGGACCCTCGGGGGCGGGAGCCCCTCCATGGAGCAGAGCACAGGGGAACGCGCCGGCAGAGCCCGCTGTAAGAGCGAGAATATGATGGAGAGCTGGTGGCTGGAACTGTGAGCGCCCCACAGTCAGGCAGAGACCCACCGCTCAACTGAAAAGCAGGCGAGAGGCAGCGCCCTGCCCAGAAGAGGCTCCGGGGGAAGACGCCGGGCCGCCAGCCACAGACACCGGGCACGGGGAGCTGCCCGTCACCCCTGGGGGACACGAAGACGCTGAGGGGCAGCAGGCCTGGCGCAGAGGGAGCTCCGACAGCCGCAGAGAGAGCGGGAGGACAGTTCAGGTAGCAATTCGCTCCAGTTCCTGGCAGGAGAACGGGCACCCGTGAGGCAGGGACCTGCCCGAGCTTGGGACAGCGCTGTGTGCGGGTTCCAGGAGAGAATTAAGTGCTGGTCACAGGGGAGGCTCAGGTGGGTCTGCGGCCCCCGCCCAGCCCTCACAGCAGTGGGACAAGGCAGCTCCTCTCCACCACGTCAAGCAGCCGAAAGCCAAAGGACCACCTCCCACACGGGTCCATCCTCACGAAGCCCTGACACGCCGCCGAGAAAATCCTTACACTTATGCATGCATGTGAGGAAACCTAGTTTTAAAAGAAAGGAACTGAACGACTGCATAAACAAATAAATGGGAGAGAAAAGACGGATTTCCCAGGAGAAAATCCCATAACTCCAGCGCAGTGATTTTCAACTGACCTCTGTGCCCAGAGATTGTCGAATAAACAAATGACAACAGCCAACACAACAATAGCCCTCTGGCGTGCATGAACCACAATTATACCTACTTTTTGGTCAGATCAGCAAAAACCACTTTTTTGGTGTGCCGCAGAATTTCAGTAACTGGTTTGTGTGTGCCACGAGATGAAGAGAGTTGAACATCACGGCTCTGGACTAATGAGGAAAAAACACCAGATAAATCCCAGCCGTGGGACATCTGATAGGCCCTCCCCAAGACTGTCAAGATCATCAGAGACATGCGTGGTCCGAGACAGTCAGGCTGGGACACAGGATGGCACACGTGAGGAAGCGCCCGGCTGGCCTTGCTCTGCACTGCACTGTGTGTGACGTCAAGGCAGCCGTTCCTGGTTCCTTTGTTGTGACCAAGGTTCCCACAATGCATGTTTCCATCTTTTCATTATCAACATACTATCTACACACGGGTACATGTAAAATGTGTCTAAGGTGCAGATCTGGTGGAGGACCCGGACCGGCGGTGCCAGTGCTGTGCCTCCAGCCCCTCAGCCCATCACCCTCTACAGCAGGGGCAGTGACGGTCACTTTTCAACCAAGCCCCCTGAAAAACGGAAATACTGAGTGGCTCAGGGCCACACTCACTGTCGTTTTATTACTGTCAAACCTACTGTGCAAGCCAAGCATCTCAGGCGAAAGCAGCGCCTCCTCCCTGTTCTAAGTGGAAGCTGTAGACTTACCCTGGCGCTCAGCTACGAGATGACCGGCCGCTCAGAACCGGGCGGCGCCTCCAGCAGTCACACCCGCAGGGACAGACTCTCAGACCCAGCCAGCCTTCCTCGGCGCTCTGGTCTGGGAACTCTCTCGTAGTAAAGGAACAGGAAACCTGGAAAGAAACAGAAAATCACATATTAGGACTCTTGCTTATTTGATTTTAAGTAACTGCTTATTTACCTGAAATGAACACCTGTAATAAACCCCAGAGAAAGCTGTTTTGTACCTAATGCCTCCGCCCAACAAAGCCGCGCCCCCCTCCCCCCCTCCAGCCGCCCATCGGATGCAGGCCACATCAGGGAGGCCACCGCACACCCTGGAGAAGAGGGGTGGAGAGAACGGGACAGCAGGCCATAAACCAGGGATCCTAGTTCCCAAGCCTATTCAGACTTCCTACCCACCGCCCGCCCAGTCCTCCGAAGCCGCCAGAAACCACAGGCAGGAAGCCAGGCTGGGAGCTAAGGAGGCAGCCAGGAGGCAGCTGGGCGGCAGGAACACTGAAATCACTTAGAGATGCGATCCTGACTCGGAGTCTCTTACTGGCCATTTATTGGGAGGCCAGCTACTGGACCCTCAGCCTCGTGCTAAAAACGCCCCTGCAGGAAATCTGAGAATATTTGAGAATAGCATCCCCAGAAATACCAGGGCGTTGTGGCGAGAAGCCAGCGGTAACGCCACCTCTCCCTCCTGGCTTGGGCAGTCTGCTGTCCCCTTCCCTTCGCTCTATGGGGAACTATCAGGCCTCGCCTCCCATTCTCCAGGGCCCCAGTGAGCTCCTGCCATTGTTAATTACATCTCACACCCAGAGAGGACCTGTCTCCAGTTCCCTCAGGGATCTATTCATCCATCCTGGCTTGATTATGACCCAAAGTGTTAAACACCCACAGAAAAAACGAATTCTATTTTAGTCAAGTAGAAAAAGACAATCCGAGTAGGGCTATCATAGAAATGTTACAAGGCAAGTTCATAAATTTGATTAAAAACTTCATCCTATTTTATATATTATCTAGCATTATTTGAAAGGGTGCCTGCTTTTTATTTAAAAATATGATTAAATGCAAGAAAAAGTTGATAACCAAACACAATGGGAAGACTAGATTTGGGCAAGATGTTAAATGTACACCAGGATGGAAATGGAGATTACAAATGGCTGCAGAATAAGTGGATGCTACACAGACATCCATCCAGGACCAAACTAAAACTATAACTAAGAATACAAAAAACAAACAAACAACAACAAAAAGCTGAGGAGAGGACCTGATAACCAAGGATGGAAGTGAAGGCCGCATAGAGTCTGGTAGGAGGGGCAGAGGCACGAAAGGGCTGGCTGGGCTCCCACAGACAGCAGCCGAAGTTCTGGAGAGAGATCTCAGCTGGAGGTGGGGGTGAGGGGATGCCACTGAGAACTCTGGGGTCTAATCCCCAAGCTGGGCTGCCCCCCAGCAAAAAGCACCAGAACTGAGAAAAGTGCGCACATATCTGACTGTGAAAACAGTGCAGGGCTGCTGTCTGCCAGGGAGAGAGGGCTGGAAAAGCTGACACCTTCTTAAAGGGACAACACAAAATTTACTGTGCAGCCACTCCCTGGGGTTCGGGCAGAGGGAGAGCAGACTGGACTGGAGCTGTGTGAGCAGAAGCCAGGATTGGGGGCTCTAAGGTTAGAGCTCAGAAGGCAGACACCCTGTGCTAAATTATTTCCTTATGCAGCAGAGGTCCGCTTTCTCCGGCAGACCTTCACAATCCAGGTGGTTTTTGCCTGGGGGGAAAGACAGTTGACCCACCCTATTGGAAAATCCCTTGCTCCATGGTACGGCTTTCTGAGGCCCCTGAAGAGATTGAGAATTAGCCTTCAGGCAAAAGCAATGGCCCCACCCCATTGGAAAACCTTTTGCCACACCTGAGGACAACTGCCTGAGGGTTACTGAAGACTGAAACCAATTGGTCTGCAGGCAGAATCACGTCTCTGGAGGGTTTGAGTATTTGCCTGATCTAATTAGTCAGAAACAGCATTTGACACTATCCTGCACTAGAGACTGGAAAGTGTAACAGATCTATCTAATACACAGTCACAAACTCAAACAGGCAGCCAAAATGAGGAGGGGGGAAAAACAAAAACAAAAACAAAACAAAAAAACACAAACCAAATGAAAGAATCAAAGAATTCTTCAGAAGAAGAGGTAAATGAGATAGAGATAAATTTATGTGATATAGAGTTTGAAACCACAGGCAGGCTGCCGCGGGAGGAAGCCAGGCTGGGAGCTAAGGATGAGCCAGGAGGCAGCTGGGCGGCAGGAACACTGAAATCACTTAGAGATGTGATCCTGACTCGGAGTCTTTTACTGGCCATTTATTGGGAGGCCAGCTACTGGACCCTCAGCCTCATGCTAAAAACACCCCTGCAGGAAATCTGAGAATATTTCTGAGAATAGCATCAGAATAATAATGGTAAAGATGCTCAACAGCATGAGAAAAGATATAGTAACTATAAAAAAGAACAGTGGAGAATAAAGAATGACATAACACAAATAAAACATTGGAAGGAATACACAGCAGATTAGGAGAAGCTGAAGATTGGGTAGGTGAATACAACAGGGAAGAAAAATTACCCAATCAGAAAACCAAAAAGAAAAAAGCAATTAGAAAACAAGACAACAGTACTAGCTGGTTTGGCTCAGTGGATAGAGCACTGGCCAGCAGACTGAAAGGTCCCGGGTTTGATTTTTGCCCGGGTTGTGAGCTGATCAATGATTAAATGATTCTATCTCTTCCTCCCCCTCTCTTCATCTCTGAAATAAAAAAAAACATATTTAAAAAACAAACACAGGAGGACGGCTTAAGGGGAGCTGTGCGGCAACATTAAACAATATTCACATAATAGGTGGCCCAGAAGGGGAAGAAAGGGAGCAAGGGATAGAGAACGTGTTTGAAGAAATAATGGCAGAAAACTTTCCCAGCCTGGTGAAGGAAAAAGTCACACAAGTTCGGGAGGTACAGAGACTCAAGCAAGAAAAACCCAAACAGTCTCATGCCCAGACACATCATAATTAAAATGCCAAAAATTTAAGACAAAGAGAGAACCTTAAAGGCAGCAAGAGAGAAGCAATTTGTTACCTACAAAGGAGCTCCCATAAGGCTGTCAACTGATTTCTCATTAGAAACTCTAAAGGCAAAAGCATGAAATACTCAAGGTAATGAATAGCAATGATCTGAAATCAAGATTACTCTATCCTGCAAAGCTCTCATTCAAGATAGTGAAATAAAGAGCTTCCCAGATTAAAAAAAAGTTAAAGAAATTTATCACCACCAAGCCAGCATTACAAGAAGAAATGCTAAAGGCAATGGTATACAAGAAATTAGAAACACCAATCAGAAAGGATATATGCACCCCTATGTTCATAGCAGCACAATCTACAATAGCCAGAATTTGGAAACAGCCTAGATGCCCGTCAGCAGATGATTGGATCCAAAAACTATCGTACATCTACACAATGGAATACTATGCTGCCATAAAAAAGAAGGAATTCTCATCATTTGCAGCAACCTGGATGGAATTGGAGAACATCATGCTGAGTGAAATAAGCCAATCAATGAAAGAGAAACACCACATGACCTCACTCATTTGTGGATAATAAAGAGCATTATAAACTGATGAACCAAAAGATAGATATAGAGACAGTAAAGCAACAAGCAGATTGTCAAATTTCAGCGGGGAGGGGAGGAGGATCTGGGGGAGATAATAGATCAAATGAAGGACTTGTATCATGCATATAAGTACAACCAATGGACATAAAACTCTGGGGAGGGAGGGAGGGGGGAAAAATCAATAAAATATGTAAAAATAAATAAATAAATGTTTAACAAATAAATAAATAAATAAAGGCAATGGTATAATGAAAAGAAATAGAGAGAGAAACCTAGGCATACATATTAAAATGGCAATAAATAGGTACATCTTAATAATCTTTAATGTAAATGGATTAAATGCTCCAATCAAAAGGCATAGAGTAGCTGAATGGATACAAAAACATGACCCACCTATATGCTATCTACAAGAGACCCACCTCAGAAAAAAAGTGAAGGGATGAAAACAAATTTTTCCATGCAAATGGAAATGGGGGTAAAAAAAAAAAAAAAGAAAAGAAAAGAAAAAAAGCTGGGGCCTGGCCAGCGTGCTCATGGTTAAGCATTGACCTTTGAACCAGGAGGTCATGGTTCGATTCCAGATCAGAGCATGTTTGGGTTATGGGTTCAAGCCCCAGTGTGGGGTGTTCAGGAGGCAGACAATCAATGATTCTCTTTCATAACTGATGTTTCAATCTGCCTCTCCCTCTCCCTTCCTCTCTGAAATCAATAAAAATTATATATATATATATATCAATATATATATATATATTTTTTTTTAATTAATTTATTTTTTTTTTTTAAAGCTGGGGTACCAATATGCATACTTGACAAAGGAGACATCAAAATGAAGGCCATCACAAGAGACAACAAAAGTCACTACATAATACTAAAGAGATTGATCCATCAAAAATATAACCCTGATAAATATATATACACCCAATATAGAAGCACCTAAATATATATTTAAAAAAAAAACTTCTGGAGGAATTTAAGGGCAAGACCAACAACAATACAGTCATACTAAGGGACTTCTAGACCCCAGTGATACAATGGATAGATCTTCTAGACAAAAATTCAATACGGAAACAGTGACATGCTGGATCAGATGGATTTAATTGACATTTATAGAACATTTCACCCCAAAGCTGAGGAAGATACACTCTTCTCAAGTTCACAAGGGTCATTCTCAAAGATAGTCCACATGTTAGGAAACAAAACAAGTTCAAGAAGACTGAAATCATATCAAGCATCTTCTCAGATCACAGTGGAATGACATTAGAAATTAACTATAGCAAAAACACCCCAAAACATTCAAATACATGGAGGCTAAATTGCATGCTATTAAACAATGAATGGGTTACCAATGAGATCAACAAAGAAATCAAAAGCTTCCTGGAAACAAATGAAAATGAACACACAAAAAAACTAAACCTCTGGGATACAGCCAAAGCAGTCTTGAGAGGGAAGTTCATAGCACTACATGCTTACCTCAAAAAACAAGAAAAACTGGTAATAAAATATTTAACACTACAACTTAAAGAACTAGAATGTGAACAAGTATAGTCCAAAGTAGAAGAAAGGAAATAATAAAGAGGAGAACAGAAATAAATGAGAGACTAAAAACACAATACAAAAAATCAATGAAACCAAGAGCTAGTTCTTTGATAAGATAAACAATATTGATAAACCATTAGTCAGCTCGACCAGGTGCCCTGGGACAGGCACTGCTGCCCCCGCTGCCGCAGCCGCCCATCCTCACAGCCACGCGGGCCGAAAACCTGACTGTTCAGCTCAGGAGCCAAAGCTGATGCCCCACACTCAAGTCCAGCCGAGCTTTCTCCCACGAAGGTCACCACTAAAGGGGACTTAGTCTGAGACTCAGGCAGAGGCTGCTGCTGCTACCGTCGGATTGGTACCTGCCGGGCGGGAGCCAGCTCAGCCTGTCAGGCGGGGCGTGCAGTGCTGGCTGCACAGTCTCCGCTCTCAAAGGGGCAGCTTCCCTCAGCGTCCTGCAGCTGAAGCAACCACTGGGGAATGTTATCTGGCTGGGTGGTCCCTGCACATGCCCCAGAGCTGACAGTCCCGACAGGTGTGCACCACGCCGGTCCTGACACACGCAAAGCACGCCGAGTGGACGCCCAGACGCCGCCCTGCAGGCAATCTAAGGGAACTGTCTTCCCTCTTCCATTTCAAAGGAAAAGCACCACCCCGATGACTGTTACAGCCTCTGAGCTCACAAACGCGAGTCTTGCCCTCCCCATCACATGTGACAGCTCTCTTCAGAGCAGGCGGCCTGCAGGGCGGGCTGTGCGGAGCCGGAGAGCAGGCCGCTGCCTGAGCTCTGGAGACTCGGACGCCCCATTCCCACGGAGCCACATGACGGGAAGCTGGATACAAGCGGAAAATGCCAGGTGAGACAACGAACAGAGCTACACAATAACTGCCTGAAAGTCCTCCCTGGGTCCTCCCCACGGACCAAACCCACAGCTTAGGAATGAACACTCAGGGTCTGACACACAGGCCTCCAGGGACAGGATTTCAGCTCCCCCGCCCCCAGGCAGTGGTCAAGGCTGAGAGGTGTGCAGGAGGCAGCTAACTGATGTTTCTCTCTCATCGATGTTTCTAACTCTCTCCCTCTCCCTTCTTCTCTGTAACAAATCACTAACATTTAAAAAAAAGTAAACCTTCAACTTTAAACTGCATTTACTTTAGAAAGGTGGTGCAAACCCTGCCCCTTAAAAAAAAAAAAAAAAAAAAAAAAAAAAGACAGAAGGAAAGACTAAGAAAAAAAGGAGACACAGACACCGCCTCTCCTGGGAGGTCACTGAGGTGCACTGGGCGACCCAGTCCCGCCCACCTCTAGGCAGCCTGCCCTCACCCCTCACCCCTCACCGGCCTCTGTGAGGGTCCCCTCTCTCCCCTCGCCTCCCCCCATCTGAGAAGCATGTCCTACAGGGACGGAAGGAGGGATGAAGGGAGGGCCAGTAACAAAACCCGGACAACTCACAGTGACCCTCCAGCTCCTTCCTCCTGGCCACAGGAGCAAATACTCCAGTTTTTGCACATCTCTTCTTTCTCTAAAACCCAGTGCAAACGTGGCGCCTCTGGGAACAAGCTCACAATTCTCGGCACAGAAAACCTGGCTTCCCTCCTCTGTGCAGAGCATTCACTGAACTGTATGCAGTCACTCAATTTGGCTTTGGAGTGAAGAAGTCTAACCATATTCAAAGTGGAGAGGATATTTCTCCCCAGGTACCTACCAGTCAGCCTCATCAATCATGGACCTACGGCCAGCTCCCCCCATTCCCAGCCCTCACTAGATGACTGAGAGCACGTTCCATACAAAAATTACTTTATCTGTAAACACTTCATTGTGTGTAACCAGCAGATACACACAACTCCATCCTTACACCTAAAATAATGATTCCTTAACCTAAATCTCATATCTAATGTTCCAATGTTCCCCATTGTCTGAGAGATGTATTTTATAGCTGATTTATTTGAACCAAGAGTGAAATAATGTTCCAAATTATAATCTCCTTATGTCTCTCCTGTTGTATTTAATGGCAATCAGCTGAAGAAACGGGTCACGTGTCTTGCGGAACACCCAGCCTTCTGCATGAGGCGGCTTTTGCTTACTGACATTTTCACGGTGTTTCCAGTGGCGTGGCAGCTGGTACCAGGGCTCTGCAAGCCGGAGCCGTTCTCAGGGAGGGACCCAGCACTGGCCACAGGCGTGGTACAGAGAAGCAACCCCACTGATCCATGACTTAGTCAACACCAGGACAAATCGGCCACGTTACTATAGAAGCAGGTGCAGCCCTTCCCCCACCCACTGCTCCCCCTTCCCACAGGATCCTTCCTGGGGTCCAGGGCATGGTGCTGCCCTCACTTACCTTCCAACTGGGAAGTGATAGCTGAGGCTAAGTTATGAAATACTCTAATCATTGATCTCCTGTCCTGCTTTTAAAACACGAATTTATTGGGGTGACATTGGTTAACCAAATTACACAGGTTTCAGGTGTACAATTCTGTGGCACATTGTGTGTACACTGTACTGTGTGCTCACCACCACATGAGGTCTCCTTCCATCGCCCTTCATCCCCTCTCTCCTCTCTAACGCCCAACCCTCCCCTCTGGTGAGCACCATACTGTTGTCTGTCTGAGGGTTTTTTTGCTCAACTCATCTTTTTCACCCAGCCACCCAACCCCCTCCCTCTGAGAGCTGTCAGTCTGTGCTCTGTGTCTATGAATCTGTTTCCACTTTGTTAGCTTATTTTGTACATTAGATTCTACAAATAAGTGACACATGTGGTATTTGTCTTTCTCTGGCCAATTTCGCTTCGCATAATAATCTCCAGATCCAACCAGGCTGTCTCCGAGGGCAGGAGATCCTTCTTTTTGCCAGCTGCGTAGTATTCCATGGTGTTCAAACGTTTCAAACGTTCCACAGCTTCTTCATCCACTGTCTGCTGATGGGCACTTGGGCTGCTTCAAATCTTGGCTATTGTAAATGACGCTGCAGCGAACATAGGGGTGCATATATTCTTTCAAATTAGTATTTCAAGTTTCTCAGAAGTGGAATTACTGGGTCATCAGGCAGTTCCATTTTTAATTTTTGGAGGAAATTCCGTACTGTTTTCCACAGTGGCTGCACCAGTCTGTGCACGAGGGTTCCCTTTTCTTTTCTAAAAATATATTTTATTGATTTTTTACAGAGAGAAAGGGAGAGGGATAGAAAGTTAGAAATATGGATGAGAGAGAAACATGGATCAGCTACCTCCTTAACACTCCCTACTAGGTATGTGTCCACAACCAAGGTACATGCACTTGATCAGAATCGAATCTGGGACCCTTGAGTCTGCAAGCCGATGCTGTATCCACTGAGCCACACCAGTCAGGACAAGGGTTCCCTTTTCTCCACATCCTCGCCAGCACTTGTTTGATTTATTGATGGTAGCCATTCTGACAGGTGTGAGGTGATACCTCATTGTGGTTTTAATTTCTCTGATGATCAGTGACTTGAACATCTTTTCAAATGCCTATTGGTCATCGGTATGTCCTCTTTGGAGAAGTGTGTGTTCAGCTCCTTTGCTCATTTCTTAATTGGATTATTTGTTGTTTTGGTGTTGAGTTTTATAAGTCCTTTATAAAACTCTTTAGTTTGGCCTAATTCATTTGCTCTCTTCTTTTTTTTTCTTTTTTAATATGTTTTTATTGATTTTTTACAGAGAGGAAGGGAGAGAGATAGAGAGCTAGAAACATCGATGAGAGAGAAACATCGACCAGCTGCCTCTTGCACACCCCCTACTGGGGATGTGCCCGCAACCAATGTACATGCCCTTGACCAGAATCGAACCCGGGACCTTTCAGTCCGCAGACCAACGCTCTACCACTGAGCCAAACCGGTTTCGGCCATTTGCTCTCTTATTTACTTATTCATTCTTTCATCAGAAACGTCCTCCCCCTCTTACTCTCCCAAGGGGAGAGAAGAGCAGTCATCAATGGCTAGTGGCAGCTGCAAAAGCAACACCAAGAGCCGGCTTCACGCTCAGGAGAGAATGCTGAGCGTCCTCATCCTGGCTTCAGTGCTCTATGTGTCCAGAAGAACTCGTCTAATGACAAACCACAGAAATGGTCCCTGAAAATATAGTCCCAGCCTGGAGGTGCTGGCTTTTCCCAAGTGAACAAAACCCACACATATTATTCTGATGGTGAATTTTTCTAACTGCGCTATTTTACCCACACATATACTGGCCTGTGTTTTCTTAAAACCTTTTTACTCTCAAAGCTTGACAAAGTGTTTTGAATCCTCAGCATTTTCGAAAACAGTTCAGGCTGACACGTTAATTAGCATACAATTACTAACTGGCCAATCACACACCACTTATTTCCAGCCCCACCCAGTTTACATAAATGCAGACATCAACGAAGTGCTTCGGGCTGTGGACAAGCCTCAGTTTAGACCTAGGCCTGGAAGCGGGGGCCTTTCACAAGAAAATATAAAGTGGAAGATGAAAGGACGGCCGTCTGGAATTTTCTGGTCAAGCACAGGAGGTAATCCGTCACACAGGTGATCTGCCTGCCCCACATAAAGAAGATGCATCTACAAGATTAAAACAACACCACCACCTCCCTTTTCTCTCCCCCGCCCCCTGGAAATCACATCCCCATCCAAAAATTACCCTCCCTTTTCGTTCACTAACAGCTCTATTTGCCCCATTTTTCCTTTTGTTTCCCTTGCCTGAGGAGACGTAAGAAAAAAAAAAATTCGCTGTTTACAGAAGTGTAAGCATCTTGTGGGCAGGTGGGCTCGAGGGGGGCTCCGGGGCACATGTCCACCCCTCTCCCCCCGGAAGCCAGGGCTCCAGGCCCCAAACCACCTGCTGAGAAAAACGAGGCCACCTGACACGGTTATACGCAGGTATTAGCTGTGTGGCACTAACAAATGTTCCTGTGTTTTCTATAAAATAAGAGTTGTACTTTTTCCTACAAAGAATACTCCTGTTGTTTTATAAACTAAAGATTTTCCCACAGCAAAATTAATCCTGTATGCAACTTTGCTTTCTCCGGCCCCTCAAGCGCCACAGCTGTTACTGTGAGCCACGCAGCAATCCAGAGAAGGCACCGAATCCGCTGAGCCCGCAGGGACGCACGCATGTGAGTCTCCCCATAGAATCTTCCAGAGAGCGCTGAGCCCATCGGTCAGGCCCAGGAGTAAACCCGTCCACAAGTGAGCAGGGGGCACGGATGGACAGGTGGGCACACAGGAGGCGACTCGGAGCCCACCTCAGCTCCGGAGCACGTCTCTGTCCGATAAAACCCCCACGAGGCTGGGGACAACGTTCACAGCCATCGACTGTAGGCGATGCTACACGGGCCTGGGACGGCCATGACCTTTGGCATTTGAGAAGCTGCGGAGCACAGAGAACAAGCTGTGGAGAGGCGCGAGAAAGGTTTTGTGGGAAGGCTGTTGGTTGTTCATTTTAATTTTGTAAATTACTGGTAACTGAAGCCTCCTACAGCATGCACAGGCTTCTAAGAAACTAAAAAAATCTCACTACGTATTATCCTATTGCTTCGGATGGGTGTTGAACCAACTTGATTTATTCACACAACACACTCGCCCCTTTTCTAATCCTCACCCAAGGTCATGTTTGATTTTGGAGAGGGAGAGGGAGAAAGATCGATGTGAGAGAGAAACATCAAAATCAATGGGTTGTCTCCTGTATGCACCCTGACTGGGGATCGAACTCAAAACCTAGGTTTGCGCCCTGACCAGGAACTGAAGCGTTTTGGTGTAGGGATGATGCTCCCGCCCACTGAGCCACGGCCCCCCTCTCTCAGTAGGGTGATGCTCACATACATTTTATAGCATCACTCACACGCATTCCATAAAATGAGGAACGGAAAGGGAGTTGAACAAATTCAATTCCTCGATTAGAAAGGCTAATAGTTAAAAAATTTAACTTACAGAGAACAAACTTATGGTTATTCCCACTGAATAGACAGTTTAATGTCACGGTGTTTAAAGGCCATTTAGGTACTTCTGAGTATTCCTAAAGGGCCCAAGGGTGTCACCCACAAACGCCAGGTCCTCACAGTGCTGAGCCCACTCCCACGTCCGCGGCGTCGCCATTCCAGTCTGTCGTGAACGCCTCACCCTGTAGAAATCTCGCTCTCACAACGTCACCTCTCCGCTGCCTGGGGCCTGGGACCAGCCTCCGGGAAGGGACTCCAGTGGTGGCGTGTGGGCTTGCCTGGGGCAGGCCCCGGAGGACGTGGCCCGGTGAGACGGCCGCCATCAGGAAACTCCTTCCGTCACCACAAACCTAAGATCGGCCGTAACTGTCCACAGCCCCCCGCAGCCAGTGCCACAGGGCCCAGAACCTCTTCCCTAACTTTACCCCAAGACTCCAAAAACCCTCCCAGGCCTGGGCCCGCACCAGCCCCCAGGCATCCACACGGAGCCTTAAGTACTGACAGTGCTGTCACTGCTGAAACCAAACGGGCTCCGCTTGCACACCATATTTCTCAATTTTACTGCTTAGTTTCCCCCGAATATTTCCTTTGTTGAGTAAATTAGCAACGAGCCAATGAGAGGGACTGAATCAAAGAGCACTTCTAAATCTTAAAGCTCAGAAACCATCATAAGCCATTCAGACACGGTGCTGGCTGAGATCCAATTAATCCATTTCTCTGTGAAAATCCCCGAGGAGTCTCCTGCTGGGCTCAAAACGGATGGAATCGTAACGCCAGACGAGCTGTGTAAGCACTTCCACACCAACACCAGATGAGAGCATGAAATCCACCCGCCAGCCTTTCACTGGGCTCACACACACGCCAGTGCCCACCTGGCGGAGAGCCGAGCCCGCTTCCTGGCCCGGCCAGTCTCCTCAGACCCTCCTCCCGCGGAGGACTGTCAAGGACGAGCTCTGGTCCCGCATTTACACACGAGACACCCTCGCCGGCCCCACCGTCAGTGTCGTGGCAGCGTTAACAGTCGGGAGAGACGGAAGGCTTTCTCTGAATTCGCCATCTTACTCACTGGCCCGGGCAGAGCTCACCCTGCAGGGAGGATGTCCCGAAAGTCCTGGGTGCTCAGTGCATGACCGGGCGCCTGGCACGCAGGCCAGCAGGTCCCTCCCGGAGGCCCAGGCCTGGCCGGACTCTCTGGGAGCCTCCAGAGCCAGGCAGGGGCCACAGAACGTGGTGGAGGCCGTCCAGGCCCCCTGCTCCGCACAGGGCTGCTGGGAGCCGGCCACACGGCGCTGCCCCTCGGCCCCGCGGCCTGTGACAGAAAGGACGCATGTCCTTTAAACTGACGCCAGTCCTCACGATACTTTACCTTCCCCCGATGGTGAGGGCGCTGAGACCTCAGACTGTTTCCTCAGGGAGAACGAAGTCACCTGTTTGCAGAACGAGCAGTTCTGCTACGTGACGAAGACGTGCGCGCCTCCGTGTGCACCCGTGTGCGCCGCGGCCCTGCCGTCCTTCCCGGAGCTCAGGGGAGGGTGCAGGGCGAACGTGAGATGGCACAGCACGGCTGCTCATTCGCTACAAGAAAACTTACCATGAAAAAAAGTCAACTGCACTTTTCAGTAAGGTCTACAACAGACATGTGCTCTCCAATATAGCTAATATTTGTCTCAGAATTTAAAAACTCTGAGACAAGCAAACCCAGTATATACAGCAGCATAACAGTTTTAGATAAAAATACTTTTTGTTGAAACGGTCTAGCCTTGTTTCCCATGACTAACTTCTAACAGAGAGACAGCCATGACCCCAAGCAAAACCCTCCTTCCCTGAAACATGACGGCTGCTCCACCTCGCCAGCCTGACACTGTCTCCTCCGGCTGGAGAGCCAGCAGGCGCGTCCCGAACCCTGCCAGCACGTGTGGGAGCTGCACACGGCGCCAAGCAGGCGCTCTGCCGCACAAACAAAGCAGACGGCACCAACAAGTGGGAATTCCAGATGCGACGGATCACCATCCATTGCCTCTGAGTGACACACGTAACCAGACAGGGATGTGTCTGCAGAAACTGGGAACGCTGGTGCTAAACACACGTCAAACCTCTCGGGAGCATCGCCCGGCGCAGCAGGCCGGCCTCTCCTATGACACAGGGCGGGGATCTCAGTGCACACGGAGGCCCGGCCTGGCTGCCCCTTCTCCAGCCACTTCAGTCCTTCGCTCTGCTCCTCCAGAGTTCCAGGTTCTGATTCAGTCCAGGTGATCCTGCCACTCCACCCACTCAGCGTCTGTGACACGCAGGCTTCCACGTCTTCATCCAGGCTGCGGGACCAGTCACGGCCCAGGGCAGCCGCACCCGAGAGCTTCCTGGGGAGGAACAAAGTGGCTCCCGCCCTGTGGGTGCAGTCCCTCGGCTCCCAGCCCACAGTGTGCCCCAGGCAGGAGCCAGCTTCCCCCTCCCTGGCTGTCCTCCAGCTGACAGTGTCCCACCCAGTGCCGTGCACACGAGATGACCTGGGGCGGAGATAGGCCAAGGGAGCTGTCACTGACAGGGCTGCGGGGGTCCCCACAGCACAGAGAGCAGGGGATCAAGGCTCATCCCCGAGAGCAACGGCCCAGAGGCTTCCCAGCATGCCACGGTGCGAGGCCACTAGAGACTTGAGGGACAATTTAGGAGGGGCCCCGCCTCTGCAGAACCCCAGCCACACTGAACCCTAGCCACAAGGAGATGCCGACCTTATCTCTTGTTATGGCCTTTACTTTGAGGTCTATTTTATCTGATATAAGTATTACAACCCCAGCTTTTTTCTCATTTCCGTTTGCCTGAAAAATGTTTTTCCATCTCTTCACTCTCAGTCTGTGTGAATCCTTTGCTCTAAGGTGGGTTTCTTGCAGACAGCAGATATATGGGTCATGTTTTCTTATCCATTCAGCTACCCTATGTCTTTTAATTGATGCATTTAATCCATTTATGTTTAATGTTACAATTGATAAGTATCTGTTTGTTGTCATATTTTTCCTTAGTGTTTGTGTTTCTTCTTGCCTTTCTCTTTCTTTTTTTTACAGCAGTCCCTTTACATTTCTTGCACAGCTGGCTTGGTAGTGATGAATTCTCTTAGCCTTTTTTTGTCTGTGAAGCTTCTGATCCCACCTTCAATTTTGAATGATAGCCTTGTTGGGTATAG